TGAACTGCACACACCAACCTTTTCTGCTTCCATCTTCACGAACCACAAACTCAACCCAGAAATGACGCCGTGAAAATCTTCATCCTCTTCATTCCTACCTCAACCAACTCAGATGCAAATCACCGATAAACTTCAAGCAAACCCAGAATTTCTTCAAAGAACAACAACCCAGAAATGACACCATTTCCGACATCGTTTTTCATCCCGTAAACGACTATACTCATCAACCTTCTCCCACTTTCCAACTAAAACCCATCAAAACCTTCGAATCCCTTTCTCCTTCAACAAACCGGAAACCCAGCATCTTCATCTTTCCCAACTCCGAATTCCCTTTCAAACCCAGAAATCACCGTCCAAATCAACCCAGAACACCACCGTCGGACCACCTCCTTCAAAACTTTGCTTCACCCATGTTCGATCTCCATCTTCTCTAACTTCCGTCGAAACTCGTATACCCATAAAACCCAAACACAACTAACAGAAGCAAATTGAAATGGAAGTGATTGAAGCAGAGAGAGATTTGAGAGAGCTGACAAAAAACGGAAAGATTTGAGATGAAACAGAAAAAAGAAAACGAGCGTGAGAGTGAGAATAAGAGTGAGAATAAGCGTGAAATATGAAGGGAGGATCCACCGTTTTTTTTAATTTTTATTTACTGATTTTATTTGATTTATTTTTATTATTATTTATTTTTCTTTTGATAAATGTTGATGGGCTTCCAGCCCGTTTTTTTGGTTTACAGTCCCCGTATTAGATCCATACACCTCCTGTTCCATTTCTATTTTATTTTTATTTTTATTTTTCTATATTTTATTTTATTTTTCTTAACATTTTATTTAACAGTTTGTAAATATTTTGTGAATTTTTATATCAATTATGTTTATATTTTATATTTCATATTTTTATTTTGACTTTCTTTTTATAAATATACTATTATTTTTATGTAACATATAGTTTAATTAATATATTATAATATGTTTCTAACCTTTTTTTTTTAGTTTGTGTATATATTTTATTTTCTTTTTCAAATGAGTTTTTTTAGAGTTATCATTTTATAAACTTTTTAAGATTGTAATATACTTTTTTTAAAAATTATTTTCTTTTATAATATCTTTAATATTTTGTATTTTAGAGTTGATTTCCATTTCTCTTTTATTATTGGGCATTTTGTCCTATTTTCTTCGTTTCGGTCGATGACGATACCCCAAGTTATAACTTTGTCAAATTTTTTGGCGAGTAATGACAAACCCGAGACCGTTTTCTTTTTAACTTCTTTCATTTTCGATTTTTATCGATTTCTTGCTTATTTCGGTCAAATGACAATTTTTAAATTATTATCGGTCAAAATTATTGATAGATGATAATTTCAGTCGAGACTTTTCACTTGCACTTCAAATTATCTTTTAAACATTTTCTCGAAAAAAAAACTCCAAAAGAGGGAGATTCTTGAAATCTAGCATTTCTTGGATCTTCGAATGAGCAACTCTCGAGACTCGCTCTTGAGTTGTTGTTCATTCAATCTTTTGATTTTCTCAAGCATATTCTCAACGTCTTTTTGATCAAAACCCCGAAAGAAAGAGGCACTTGGAGTCTAGCATTCCTTGTGTCTTCGAGTGAATAATTCTCGAAGCACGCCCTTTGAGTTGTTATTCACTCAACCTTTCGAATTCAATCATTTTTAAACATTCCCCTAAGTCGAATGCTCGTCCGCATTCGCAACCCATTTCATTCACAATTCCTCGTGGTCTCGATATTAGGAGCACCCTCAGGGACTAATATCATTTCTCACAATCCTAACCCTTGACACGTCGTCAAGTCGGTTCAATCTTCAATCAAATCCTCGACACGTCGTCGAACTACTTCAAAACAACTTCTTTGTTGGCCTTGCATGCCATTCTTCGATTCGATCCTTCCACAAACATTTTTAAAACTTACGAAAGAGAGATATTCTTAGAATCTAGCATTCTTTGAATATTTGAATGAGTAACTCTCGTGGCGCGCCCTTGAGTTGTTATTAGTTCATTCTTTCGATTTCAAAACATCTAACTCTTTATCTTCAATTTATTCAGTCAATTCCCGAAGGAACTGAGTTCTTGGAGTCTCGCATTCCTTGAATTCTTGAGTGACAAGCTCTTGAGACACGCTCTTGGCTTGCTCGTCAGTCACCCTTTCGTCTCAAACTCAAACTTCAATCCTTGTCAACCCCTCCTCTTTTCGTGGTTGTTACCATGAACTACGGACGCTCTGATTCTTTATTCATTCTTGAATATAAGATACGTAGGCACAAGATTGCGATGATCTTGGCGAGCACAATCCCATCCATCTTCCATTTCCCCCCATCCTTTCCCGTAGTCGAACTACGACGCTCTGATTTCTCATTCTCGTCCGAATAAGCATACGTAGGCACAAGGGCCCCAATCCTTGGCGAGCACCCTATTCTCTAACCACTCATCTCTCCTTTGCGTCTTTAACCTTTTAACCTACCAATTCTACCCTTAACAACGAGAAGAAAACAAGTAAACCTAAAACAACACTCCCCACAATTACCTTAAGAGGTTCCCGTCGAGTACGACGGACGTGAGGGGTGCTAATACCTTCCCCTCACGTAACCGACTCCCGAACCCGGAACATGGTTGCGACAGCCCCGTTCCTATCCTTTTGTTTCAAGAGGTTTTCTCGATATTTTCCTCTCCCATTTATTCGGGAAAAATAAAGTTCGGTGGCGACTCTGTCGAACCGCATTTCCGCGCCTTTAGCGCGAGGGTCGTATTTTCGAATGTGATTTTTCGAGGTGCGACAGTTTCTTGTATGGAATCAACTTGTGATCACGGGTTTCCCAATCCTCTTTGATTTGACTGATTACCAGAGCTGAATCTCCGTATACCTCGAGAATTTTGATCCTTAGATCAATGGCTGCTTCAATTCCGAAGATACATGCTTCATATTCTGCCATATTGTTGGTGCAATCGAAACATAATCTTGTAGTGAAAGGAAGATGAAAGCCTGTTGGAGAAGCAATGATTGCCCCGATCCCATAATCTTGAGCAGTTGAAGCACTGCCGAATATTAGAGTCCATTGTGATCCTGGTTCGGGTCCTTCGTCATGGCTTGAGATTTCATAGTCTCTGATAAACAAGATATATTTGTCTGGAAAGTCAAACCTCATTGGTTGATAACCCTCCACAAATTGATGAGCTAGATGATCTGACAGCACACTCCTTTTGATAGCTTTTTGGGTGACATACTGGATTTTCGCAAAACCCTAAAACAAAGCTAACATTGATTTTGGGGGAGGGGACAAAACTTCACGAGCGAAAAGAGAAACCAAAAATGTGGGAAAATAAAATTGGTCTTTTTGTATTTTTTATTTATTTAAATAAAATAGTTCCTTTTTATTATTTTTGACAAATTTAATTTGATATAAAATTGTTTTCTAAATGGTACCAAGTTTGATTACCTCATATTACAAGTAAATAAAACTTCCTTAGTGAACACAAATGACTTAACAAATTTAATGCAAATTATATATTTTTATTTAATCTTTGTTAAGTCAATTTTAAATGTACCCGACCTAACTAAGTTGCAAATATTTATAGAATTTCCACCGCGTCGCTTCTTATGTTGGGTGGCAGGTGAACTGACTTTACAACCTCTGTTAAAAGGGTATTTTTATACTAGTGCAAAAAAAAAACTCAAACACAATCAACACAAGATTTTTTGTATTAGACTTGGGATGAACTCGAGTGGATTTTCGTGAATACATGTTTCTTACCATCCATCCACCTAATATTATTAAGGGTGTTCGCGGGCCGGTTTGATTCGGTTTCAAGAGAATTTGATGCCCAAACCAATCAAAAATATATAGTTTGGTTTGGATTGGATTTGTACATTTTTTTGATAAAACTCAAACCGAACCAAACCGATAAACAATTTGTTAGTTTTGGTTGAATTGATCAGATATATTATAAACAAATATGCAAAAATATTTTTTAAAATATCTAATTTACATCAACTATTTTTCTAAAATAATATAAAATTTTTAATTTTTTTCGTTTCTCTATATTTGTTGTAAATATCACAAATGGTGTTTTATTTTTTTTCTTCTTAAAGTTAAATATTTTATTCTAATTTTCTTGATAATGATAATATATATTATACTAATTAATTATGATTGATTCGGGTAGATAGTCTCGCGGGTAGAATTTTGAAAATCTGTTATTCAAACCAATTAATATCGAATTTCATTGATTTGGTTCGATTTTTGCCTGAACTAAAAAAATCTCAAACCAAACGCTATGGTTTAGTTTGAATTTCGATTTAATTCAAATTTGCCCGAACCAATGAACACCCCTAAATATTATTAATTTCTAAAATACCTCTTATAAATAATAATAACTTTTAATTAAAATAATAAAATAAAATAATTGTAAAAGCTAACTTATTATATTTTATGGTTTTTGATTATGATATAATAATATGTCATGCCATATCTTTCTTATCCTTTTCAGTCTTTTATATTTTTCACATAAATAAAATACCAAACTTTCAATAATCCCCAAAAGTAAATTTCAACTTTCAATCAGTACTCTATTAATTTTTTGTAAAACTTTTATTTAATATTCTACTATTACTATTTAATATAATAAATAAATAAAACATGTAGTTGTCCCAGAATACCAGTATTTTTTTCTAGACTAAAATATAAACAGAAATTTAAAAAAAAATTGTATTCAGACTAAATTTAGACTAAATTCATTTAATATTTTTTTATAAATAGTCTAGAATGATATCACTTATTTTATTTTTTAATATAAAGTATTGATCTACCTTTTATTTAAGATATCACTAAAGTACTATAAAAGGATGTGTCTCTCAATTGATTTGACTATAATATTCATGCTTGCTGCAAATACGAGACTTCACCGCTTTCACTTTTCTTAATCTCCATCAAACACCAAAAACCCTCTCTTTCTTTTCTTTCACTCTTTTCATCAAACACCATGTCTTCAATCACGACCGCACAAGGCGCCGTTTTCGCAACCGCCATGGCTGTCTCCGGCACCGTCATCCTCCTCGCTCTCCGTCTCCAGAAGTCTCTCCCACCAACCCAATTCTCGTCCCTTCACCAAATTCCTCCTTCTCGCCCTCCGATTCTACGATCTTGTATATCCTCCGGCAGAAAGAAAGCGAAGAAAAAGAAGAAGAGAGTTCATTTTGCGGATGATGTTATGGATACGTGCGGAGATGGAGAAGAATACAGAAAGCAGCATTCTTTGAAGATGAATTCGAGAACAAAGGTTTCGAGGAACTGTAATGGCGGAAAAGGAATGCCGGCGAATAGAGTTGCTTTGTATAATGGAATTCTCAGAGATCGCGTTAATCAACGATTGGCTTATTGTTGAATTTGTTTTTTTTTTCTTTTTCTTTTTCTCTGAATATTCTGTTATTATGCTTTTTTTTTCCCCTTCAGTTTCTGTAAGTAGGAAATAGAAGTTAGTATTGGAGGGTCCACCAGAAAGAAAAAAAATGATAATAGTTGCTGGGTTTGTCATGTGAATTCTGAAGATGATTTTGTTCATATTTTTTAGACTGATTTTTTTTTTTGTTGGTCTCTTCATAAGGCTCCAGAGGCAATTATGTAATGTAGACTTTTTTTTCTTTCTAGTTCTGTTATGATGATGGTAATTTGTGACATGTAAATACAAAAATAATATTGTAGATCTTAACAAGTTGTTGTTATTTTATTTTAGTTTGTATTGTGAAGGTCAATTTTAATGACGTATTGGTAGAGAAAATTGTTGTGTGATGTTAACTTTATGGTAATGGTAAAGATAAGAAAGATAGAATCATGTCAATTGTGTGAATTTGGGGTTAATTTCAAGGAGGGGTAAAATTGTCCATTTGTCAATTTGCATTATGTTATGTGATTTTTTTGTTTTGTTAGTGGTTTCTAGATTTTGTAATTGTGATGGAGAGATGATCATGTGGAAAAGGGGAGTTATCTTTCTGAATCGGTAAAGGTGTGCATGAACCCAACCAGATAGTTAAATGAAGATTTGACATTAACCTAACATAACCTCACAAACGTTACTCTACCTAAGACCATCTCCTGGTTCTTCAAATTAGTTTGTCATCTTAGCATTGAAATTGTCAACAAAAAGTTGTCATCTTGGCATTGAAATTGTCAATAAAAAGTTGTTCCAGCTGGTGAACCTTCCTTGCATAAGCAATGGTTCTTCATTTTTTTTATTATTAAAATAATTATTTAACTTGTTGATTTTATTTTTTTTAACTTTTTTTATTTATTATAAATATAAGTTTGTTGCAAAAATTTATAACAATCCTATTTTCTCTCACTTTTATTTACTCTTTAATTTTAAATTTCTCTCTCACAATTTCATCATTTTATTCATAAATTATTATTTTTAATTTTATGTTTAATTTTAATTTTATGTTTAATTTATATTTATAGTAATTAAAATTTAAATATTTAAATTATAATTTTAAATAAAATAAATTTAATATAAATAATATATTTAAGTAAAGTAGTGGGACCCAATATGGGTTCTTCGAAGTTGCACCATTATTACTCCGTGCAACTCATTTTTGGGTTCTTTGTGGGACCCACTCTTTTAAAGCAACTCATTTAATTTTCACTCTAATGGTGCAACTTCAAAGAATCCATATTGGGTCCCACCACTTTATTTAAAATATATTATTTATATTAAATTTATTTTATTTAAAATTATAATTTAAATATTTAAATTTTAATTAATATAAATGCAAATTAAACATAAAATTGAAAATAATAATTAAAATTAAATTTAAATACATGTTACATAATTAAAAACAATAAAAATAAATAACATCACATAATTAAAAACAATAAAAATAAATAACATCACATAAACAAATGTAATTTGAAATAAAAAGATGAAAATTTGGCCTAAACAAATGTAATTTGAAATAAAATGATAATGAGAAAAAATTATTGGAAAAAAATTAAATATTTATGAATAAAATGATGAAATTGTGAGAGAGAAATTTGAAATTAAAGAGCAAATAAAAAGGAGAGAAAATAGGAATAAAAAGGAGAGAAAATAGGAATGATTATAAATTTTTTCCAACAAACCTATATTTATAATAAATAAAAAAGTTAAAAAAATAAAATAAAGCTAAATGATTATTTTAATAATAAACCAAATGAAGAACCGTTGCTTATGTTTGTAACGTTCTATAGCTGGAATAACATTTTGTTGACATTTTCAATGCCAAGCTGGCAAACCAATTTGAAAAACTACCGTTGGAGTTGGTCTTAGAGTGAAAATTGAATAAGTTATTTTAGAATAGTGGGTCCCACAAAGAACCTAAAAATGGGTTGCATCATTAGAGGTACTATAATTCCTATTTAGGAACATCAAAGTTATCTATTACCCCACTAATTTGCAAGTGTTTTGCCTGCCAAACTCAAAACACATCTTTGATTGAGTGACAACATGATTAACATGGTTGTAAAGTGGCACAATTGAGTACTTGATCCTAGTATGATTCGTGGGTTTCAAAATGACTATTATTGTTTAAGGTTTTTCATTCATATTAAAAAGATGTAGTGATATTATCATAAAATATTATATTTTTATTAAATTAATTATGAAATAGTAAAAAGAATAATATTTATATGACATAATATTATTAAAATGATAAATGATAGTCATTTTAAAATAAATTTGATTATTAAAATAAAAATATCAATTATTTTAAAAATAAATTTGAAATATTTCTATATTGAAAAATAAAAATAAAAATTATTTTAAAATAAACTTGATTACTAAAATGATAAATGACAGTTATTTTAAAATGATGAGAATAAAAGTATGTTGTTTTGGCAAAATTTTGTTTTTTTTTATAAAAATGTTATTAAAACATTAAAACACATACTTTTTTTATGACATAGTATATGTTTATTTCTATTTATCTTTTATTTATTTTTTTATCTTCTACAATTTATATGTATATTAAAAATAAATAAAAATAAAAAAATTAAAAGACATTAAACTTGATGTAAATATATTAAAAAATTAAAAAATATCTAGAATGTGACATAGTACACTAGTTAGTAATAGGGATCTGAATAGGGTGGAGCGGAGCGAGTTTAACTATACCAGCACCCGCATCCTTTCATGTAACACATTCGCACCCGCACCCAAACCTAATTAGGAGTAAAAGTTTACCGTTCAGACCCACTCCCAGTAGAGAATGGGTGCACCCGCACCTGTCCCGTCCCCACCCGCCAAAAATTAATTTCTTTTTAATTACAATAAAAATTAAAAATTTAATTAAAAATTTAATTAATAAATAAAATATTAATTTGATTAATTTAATTATTTTGATTGCAATGAAGACATTAATAATTTAATTAAAAATATAATTAATAAATAAATATTAAAATAAGTAAAACAAGAAAATTAAAGTAAAATAAATTATCCGAAGTCAGGGCGGGTGCGGGAAGACGCACCCGCACCCGTAGTTAAGAATCAGATTTCCCACACCTGCACTCACACCCAATTAAATTGAATTTTTTTCGTTAATTTTAGGGCGGATGCGAGCGAGTCCGGATTTGTTTGTCATCCCTAATTAGTGATATATTTACTATATATTATATATGATTTTATTTATAAGAAAAAATTTAACATTTGAATTTATTGAATACTCAATATATTTAAATTATAAAAAATATCTAAACTATAAAAAATATCAGATATATAAATTATTTCGTGAACCTAATTTTTTTTTTTTATAAATAAGATTAGAAGGAAAATTGACTCATCTTTTATCCCAATAAAAAGATGAAAACAATGACAAAATAAATAATTATTGGATGATATCTCAATGTGTTGGTGTCTTCAAAATCATCCTAGAGTAGTGCACTTAGCCAATGGATATTGAAGACAAACAAAAACATCAAGTTCTTGAAAACCTCCAAAACATAGGCAACTGAAAAACTTGTTGGGTAATCCAAACCATGTTATGGTGGAACAGAATCTTTAGATCAGCTTATTTGTCCCATTCGGCCAATTTGTTGCAACTCTTGCCTCTATGTGTGAAAGCAAAGTTGTGAGTAGCAGCGTGTGGGGCACTTACCCTTATTTTATGTGTCCCATATTGAATTCAAGTTTTTTTATTCAGTGTTGGTGGCGTGAAAGCAGTTGTATGTTTTAATATGTTTGCGAAAAAGGTCGGTTACCCAACCAATAGTTCTTGAGTGTTTGACTGATCATCTCAACCAATTGGAAACTAAAGAGATTTGAAATGGTACCACCATCTATACTTCTCCTTCGTCACTCAACATGCTTGCCCAATTATTGGGCTACCCATGTGAAGCTTTGAGGTACAATTTGGAATTTATAACTTTGCCCAATCATATTTATATTATGAGAGGGGGAAATTACCAGCCACTTGATGTTTTCTTTTTATACAATGGGAAATTTTAATTAATAAAATGTTTATATTGTGACAATCAATCTATATGTGTCACTCATATTATTACCAATCTTTTTTAATTTACTCATCCGATTCAATCTTTTCTTTTTAATAAGTTATTTTACTTCAATTAACTCTACATATTATTGTGATGTACTACGTCTAGTCTTATTTATAAAAAAAATGTCTTTTAGATTTATTGAATAATTAATATATTTAGTTTATATTTTCTTCAGATACACTCACTCGATTCAATCTTCTTTTTACTCAGCTATTTTACCTCAATTAACTTCACATATTATTGTGATGTACTACGTCCAGTCCTATTTATAAAAAGAATTGTTTTTTAGATTTATTCTGTTGTGAATTACGACAAAATTCAATATCAATTTGTGAGGCAAAGAATAATAGTAACCAAAATAAATGGTTTTCAGCAATAATAATTCATACACAGATAATATAACAGATATCAGAATAAGGTAAGAAAAAACTGAAGGTTTGTTTACCCAGTTCGATCAAACGATCTACTATGGAGGAAAGAGCAGCTCTCCAATTCATTATACTCAGAAAGTTGTTACAAGAGATTACAGATGAGTTACAAAAAAAAATAGTTTTCTCCTCCAAGTTCCCAAGAACAACCCTAAAGGTGCCCACGAACAACTCTATTTTCTACCCAAGTGTTTCTCTACCTCTCCAACTCTCAATATATGAACCACTCAAACTCAAGGTGTAATCCAAGGTTTTCTTTGTGCATAGCTGAAACCATATGCTATACATTTAAATCTTTGGTCTCTCTTATTGGTGTAAACTCTAAAATTGTCACACACCAAGCATATAAGAGATACATATTTATAATAGCAAATACCCAACAAACAAAGCCTAAAATCACATGGATCCATGGAACGAATCGAAAAAAACCCGA